GCGGCGGAGGCCATTGTGGACATCACATCCGCTCAGGATGTGGTGAACAAAGTCTTCGATTAGATTGTACTTAGAGAGAACCAATGAACAAAGACTCCTATTCTTTCATGAATGTGTCTCAGTGCAATGCCCTTGTGTATGACTATTTTTGCACTTTTGTTTTTGCTCTAGAGGCGATACATATCGTATTGCCTTTTATTGTCTTTGAAGATTTTCATTTTTTGAACTAGAGGCGATACCTCTCTGGTACCGGCTATTAGAGCTGAAGACTAAATGAATCGGCTATCAAGTATTGATCGAATGCTAGGATTACATCCCTTGAAACATTTTTCATTGATTGCTACCGATAGGTTGCACCAGAACTTCTCGGACCAATCGATCGATTTAGGTCAAGCATCCTATTAAGCGAAATAGAACTTCCTTCAACAGATTTGTCGACTCTGAATTGCGTTTACGATTCGACTTAGTACTCACATACGCCAGCCCAAGCCTATCTCCAGGATCAATACTTATTTCCCTTAATCCAATGGCCGACGCGAAGCCATGATTATTCATCAAAACAAACTCTTAGAGCCGATTGCTTCAACGACTGTTGGCCTTCATTATTAATCCTAATGAAACCTCCTTCCCATATCCTGCCAGAAAGGCATTCGAAATCTCCTAGTTCCCAGAAGACTGGATCTGCTGTTGCGATACTCACAAACTCATCAACGTGAACTAGCTCGACATCATTCCCATGCCATTGAATTAAGCACTGATGCATGGTTGACGGTACACAACAATTTGCATGAATCCAGTCACGACCGAGGAGTAAACTATAGAAACCTTTTCCGTCGATGACAAAGAATGTGGTGAGCAGAGTCTTACACCCGATTGTCAATTCGACGTTTATTGCCCCCAGGGTCTTAGACGTATTACCTCCAAAATCTTTGAGCATCATGTCAGTCTCAAGCAAGTCTCCTGGTCCCTTGCCAAGCTTACAAAAAGTGGTGTAAGGCATAAGATTGATAGAAGCACCTCCGTCCACCAACATCTTGTTCATCGGCTTCCCATCAACAAAACCTTTCATATATAAAGCCTTTAAGTGTCGATGCTTGACTGGGTTATCAAATATTGCTTGTTGTATAACCATTAACTTGGCAACCATCTCCTCATACTCTGATTCATCGAAATCCGAATAAACTTCTTGATATGCCGGAGCTCTAAACTCTGATGGCAATAGAAAAACCATTTGGATGTTAGTCGATGGTTGCTTTCTATCGGCTGGCTGTTTGCTTAGTACGCCATACTTGAGGTTTACCGGATGCCTGAGCCTGTTCCAACTCTTTATTCCTTAAGCGTTGCACCCTTCTCTTCTGGCTTCTTGTCAAACCTCCTGGGCACCATTGGCCTTCCTGCCAAACGTATTCTTTCTCGTTGCCTTCTTCCTCATAACCAGCCCAATCTTGGTCAACAACTCGTTTTCCAAGCCAATCATGAACACTTCCATTTTTAAGCACCAATCCATGTCACTATGATGATACGCATCTTGAGCATGGATAGACCGACGGTTGGTTTGAGATTGCCTAAACTCCCAATATTGATTGCTGCATCCTGGATAGTCATGTCTAGTAGGCAACTTCAAACCTTCATTCCAGCAATGTCTGAAGAAAGGACAATTCCAATGTGATTCGGCTTGTTTCCTTTCATACCTTTCTTTTTCCAGTTGACGCTGGTATCTTGGATCCTCTAACCAACGCTGATAATCCTTCTCCTTCTGCCACTGCCACTTATTCAACAAGATCCGAGATGTAACTTGCGGCTTTATCACCCCATCCTTTGACGTTTCCCTTGCTCATATCAGCTCTTTTGCTTGTCATGATGACTTCTGATTTTTCTATATTCGTCAGCCGATATTTACATCTTGGAATTGACTGTTCCAGCTTCTCTCGATTTGGTTGATGTCAGGACCTTAGTCTTTCCTTTGAGCAACCTGGCATCGACCATGTTCTGATCTCCTAGGAAAGGATTATCATCAACTTTCATTTTTTGAGGTGTATCAAACTTGAGCCTTCCATGTTGAATAGCCCTCTGTATATGCTGCCGGAAAATTCTGCATTCATTAGTGGAATGAGAAGTAGAATTATGGAACTTGCAGAACTTCTTATTCTTAACTGATCAGGGGGCAACATAACATGATTATCGGACAACTTGATCTGCCCCTTCTCAAGCAAGAAATCGAAGAGCTTGTCTGATTTGGTGACATCAAAGTCATAGCTCTCCTTGACTCCTCTTCCCCAAGGATTTAGCACCATTACTGTCTTTTTGCCCTAATTCCATTCAGCTGCAGCAACCTCTTCTTCTTCATCTTCATAGCCATCATCGACTGAGTATGGATTATAAGCTTTGGCCACTGTGGTACTCTTCTGGAATCGGGTATCTCTGTGCATGCTCTGGAATTGGCTATTAAGTGCTGCCACTCGTTGAACCAATTAACCCAAGTTGTCAAATTCTTGTTTCAGTAGCTTTTCTTTCCACATTGGCAGCATTCCCTAAACGGCTAAAGTAGCTAGCTGATCATCAGCCAAGTTTAATAAGAAGCATAAGTTTCTAGTCTCTCGGAACCTCTGAAGAAATTCAGTGTCCGATTCATTAGTCCTCTGCCTTATAGTCGTCAGATCGGTGATCTTCTTTTCTCCAGTCCCAGTGTAAAAATATGTATGAAATTTCTTTTCCAGATCAGCCCAATTGGCAATGCAGTTGACTGGTAGTGATGAAAACCAAGTGAAGGCTGGTCCTAAGAGGGACAAAGAGAGGAAGCGAACTCGATGGGATTCCTCAACTGATGCCTCGCCCAATTGTGTAAGATACCAACTGACATGTTCTATTGTGCTTGTACTGTCTTGGCCAGTGAACTTGGCAAACTCTGGGAGCCTATAATTTACAGGAAGAGCGACCAAATCATACCATTCTGGATATGGGCGTTTGTATGAAAAGGTCAGTCCTTTTGGCTTCAGACCGAACTGATTCTTCATCATCTCGGTTACCTTCAGCAACAACTCATCAGCATTTGAATTTGGATCTCTCTACACATGCTGACCCATCTGTGGGTTGAAATTCTGTGTGCCTTGATACCCTGGATTTGGAATCATGTGAAGGGTGTTGTAATCTGTGCCATAATGATACCCTTGTGGAGTTTCTATCTGCTGGGTCATTTGCTGGTTTGCTGCCTAAAGTCTCTGATTATAGACATGAGGATATATATCTCTACGGATCCTTTGAACTCATGGCGCTATTTTTTGAGCCAAAGACGGTATGTGGCCTGATGTGCCAAAATTAATCACCTGGTTCTGACCTTGCCCCGCCGGCTGTTGCACATACTGTACTGACTATTCATGATTATATTGTGTCTGATTCGTAGTAGTACCTTCACTACTACAGCGTAGGGATATAGTAACACCAACTTGTGTTACTATAGGTTAGAAAAAGTGTTACTGGCTCTCTTAGTAACATATTATTTTTTGTGTTCCAATTGGCCATGTTACTATAGACTGACTTATTATAACACATTTACTTATCTATAGGAACATTTGTTTAGTGTTACAATGATTTTTGTTGTAACACTTTTTTTTTTCCAGTAACACTTCACATTATGGTAAAATGGATAGTTTGTACATATCTATCGGAACATTTGCCTGGTGTTGCAGTAACAATTTTCCCCTGATGCAACGACCTAAAATTATTGCAATAGGCCAAAAAGTGTTGCAATAAACAAAATTGCAACACAAAAATTTGGTTGGGATGTGTTGCCACTGATGTCATAGCAATAGGTTTGCGCAACACTTCATTTTGGTGTTGCAATAGACCCTCCATTGCCACTACAAATATTTGGTTGCTACAGGTGGCCTCTCTTTTGCCAAACTATATCTGTGGTCGCTATAGGTGGAACCTTATATTGCCATGAAAATATTTTGGTTGCTAGAGGTGGAACCCTCTATTGCCACGAAAATATTTTGGTTGCTAGAGGTGATCTCTCTATTGCCACATTAACCATTGTGGTTGCTATAGATGGAACCCTCTTATGCCACGAAAAAGATGACCTCTCTATTGCCACACTTACTATTTTTGTTGCTATATGTTGTAGACCCTATTGCCACTGATTATTTTTTTGGTTTCAGGTCTTTCGGCACACCGTTTGTTTGTTACTATAACATAATAGCTAGCCAAATAATTATGCCGATAGTCGATATTGCAACGCTTTGTTTAGTAGCATTAAACAATATTTGCACGCCATTAATTTTTTAGAACAATATACATATGGTTAATAAAACATTTAGAGAGCCATTAATCCAAAATAGACAACCATTCATTAAATAGACAATCCATCATAACAGTATGTGAACTTCATGAAATCTCAAAATTTACTACATTTTCTAACATCTCTACAACACTTGCAGCCTCCATGATTGTGCTTGGCCATAGCTTGTTTGGCGTTTTATAATTGCTTCACTTATGGTCATGTCATGATTCCAAACATTCCGCTAAGTTAGATCTTCCTGCTGAATAAAAACATTAACATTAGCATATGGATTAGCAAATTTAACAACTTAGGCGCACATAGAAAAGATCAACTAAATAATGCAACATACAAGCTAAAATTGATTACACGACATTAAATTATCATCATTTTGTACACAGCTTACAGTTTCAGCTCTGATGAATCCTTTCTGAAAGTCACTATGAATAACTCCAGCTGCTTGTGGTGCAGTCATGCCTATATGTAGAATTGCTTGCATTTATTATGATTATTACAACAACAACTTCAAATATTACAATAGAATAATTCTGAGGAAAAAGGAAACCTGAAAGAATAGTCCAAGCTTTTGTTTCCTAAAAGGACACAGTTAAAGGTCTGTCAGTTTGTGTTAACAACTGGAAGAAAAACCTTTAACAGCACAAAAGTTGCACCTTGTCTCCGGTTGTGAAATAAGTTCTTAGTCCCAATAGATTATATGTTGCTTTTACCAAATTTCCTCTTCCAAAGGTAGCTCAGCAAGTTCAGCTTCAACCTGTTTATGCATTCCATGATTTTGTTAGCATAGATAGAGCACATATGGATAGGCAACATCAATCAGGCAAAAATATGAAATTGTTTCACAGAAATTTCTTCAAAAGCTTCTTGTAGTTTAGATGCATACAACAAACCTGAGCTGATATTGTAACCATACCAGACTGCAAGTCTGATGCTGCTTTAGCGACCTCTTTGACATGAGGATTGCTATCAGGTTCAGCAAGATCAGATTCTGTTACATTAGCAACATAAATGACAGGTTTCATAGTTAGCAGACAAAGATGTTGTATAGCTTCTTTCTCATGCTCAGCTAAATCAACCGATCTTGCAGGCTTTCCTTCTATCTACAGTTATTACACAACTGTCAGCCGTTGGACAGGATCATATGTAGCAATAGAAGTTTCTTTTGAAATGTGTGATAACAAGACAAATGGAAATTCCTTCACCAAATTACCTGTCCAAGATCCGAAAATATCATCTCTAGGTTAATGACATCGATGTCTGATCTGGGATCGACCTTGCCATTGACATGAACTATATTATCATCCTCAAAGCATCGCACAACCTGAGAATCCAATAAAAAATAGATAATTACTTATTCCTAGAACCTCAACAGCTAATATCTTATAAGAGGCTTGTCTTATAATATTTTGCTATCTCCAACAAATAAGAAATGATAATGAAGCACCAGCAGTGAGTTGCAGTGCTGGATAAAGATAACAGAGTGGCCCCAGTTTTACTTCGCATATCACATATCAGTAAAATTGGAGGAAAAAGGGATATCTGATGGAGAATTGTATTAGCCTGTAAAGTATAAAGATGACAGTAGGATGGCGCACAGTAATTGACAGACACTAGAACTTGGCAAATATATGAGAGCTTAAGCATACAAGACGATAGAACAACCTGAAGTATGGAATCCACTTCACGGATGTTTGTGTTGGCCCATAGGATCACTGGCTCAGGTGAGTCGACCACTCACCAGTCTTGCCGAGTCCCTGCTAGTGTTGCCGAGCACCCACTAGCCGTGCCAACCACGAAGAAGCGTTGTCCGTCCCCACACACTATGGCTAGAGGTAGAAGAAGAAGGGAGAACAGAGCATACACACACAGCAGAGACACCAGCGTTGGCCGGAGCCCTGTATACGAGATGGCAAATCTGAACTCTCTTTGTTGAGTTACAGTCGCAAACTATATATACAACTCTATCCATCTAGTCCTAGTATAGCTGCCATGCTGCAACAGCGACTAGATAACACAGCAGGTGAAAGGTCCTAATGACTAGAGGGGGGTGAATAGCCTATTAAAATTTTCTATAACAACACTTAACAAATCGGTTAGACAATTATGAGGCAAAGCAAGTGTTGCGCTAGCCTACTAAAAATCAAGCCACATACCATAATTCTAGTTTCTATAGTCTATATCCACACAATGGCTATATCACTGCACTAAGTTAGTGTGCTCTCAAAAGCTATCTAAAGAGCCACACTAACCAAACTAACAAGCTCAAACAACTGGCTACACTAAAGAGCTTGATAACTAGTTTGCGGTATTGTAAAGAGAGAGCAAGATAGTTATACCGCCGTGTCGAGGAGTGAACCAATCAATCACAAGAATCAATATCAATGAAGACCAATCACCTCGAAATCAAATGATGAACACAATGATTTTTTACCGAGGTTCACTTGCTTGCCGGCAAGCAAGTCCTCGTTGTGGCGATTCACTCACTTAGAGGTTCACACGCTAATTGGCATCACACGCCAAACCCTCAATAGGGTGCCGCACAACCAACACAAGACGACGATCACACAAGTCACGAGCAATCCACTAAAGTACATTTTGGCTCTCCGCCGGGGAAAGGTCAAGAACCCCTCACAATCACCACGATCGGAGCCGGAGACAATCACCAACCTCCACTCGACGATCCTTGCTGCTCCAAGCCGTCTAGGTGGCGGCAACCACCAAGAGTAACAAGCGAATCCCACAGTGAAACACGAACACCAAGTGCCTCTAGATGCAAACACTCAAGCAATGCACTTGGATTCACTCTCAATCTCACAAATATGTTTAATCTATGATGGAGATGAGTAGGAGGGCTTTGGCTAAGCTCACAAGGTTGCTATGTCAATGCAAATGGCCAAGAGAGTGAGCTAGAGCCAGTCATGGGGCTTAAATAGAAGCCCCCACGAAATAGAGCCGTTGTACTCCTTCACTGGGCACAACTCGGGGTGACCGGACGCTCCGGTCATATTGACCGGACGCTGGACCTCAGCAGCGTCCAATCGCGCGATGCACGCCACATGTCCCCTCTCTTCAAATATAGAGCGCCCAATCCCAACGGTCAAGTGATGACCCGACACACTGCTGTGAAGTGACCGGACGCTGGACCTCAGCGTCCGGTCGTTTCCAGTAAGCTTCCAGAAACAAGAATTCACGACCGGACGCGTCAGGTCATGCTCGACCGGACACGCCCAGCGTCCGGTCACTCAACGTCTCATTTGTGCTACCACGTCAGTGTGACCGGACGCACCCTGTCAGCACTTAGGTTAGCACTTAGGGTTTCATCAATTCACCAAAACCAAACTAGAGCTTTCAATCTCCCCCTTTTTGGTAATTGATGACAAGCCTTACATAAAGATATTGAATTGAAATTTAATCGAATCCATGTTGCTTGTCCAAGCATATTTACTATGTGTAAAAAGATATGGACAAGTTTCATGAACCCCAAATGGTAGCAATTGCTCCCCCTATATATGTGCTAAGAGTTTGGATTGTAGCTTGCACATATGCTTAGATAGGAAATATAGGAGACAATGTCTACCAAATGATGCTAAGGTATAAAAGATGGACCTTTAAAGCGTGATACCAATCGGAGTGCACCATTATACCATCCTTAGCACCATGGTTAGCTTGATACCACTTGGAAACACTTGAAAATGAAATCACTAGATAAACTTATGCATGCTAGATTTTTATTTCATCATTCAGACCTACAACTAGCATACACCACACAAGCATGGATGTTGAAATTTAAAACTTGTGCCATGCAAGCAAACATATGAAATGCACATTCAAATGCGCCATACAAGTTCATGAGCTTGCTCCCCCTACTTGCGTGCTCAAAGTTTTAATTGATCCCTTTCCTTTGTCATATTTCTCCCCTTATGTCAAATTCTCCCCTTTGTTGTCTTTTCACTATCTTTGTACACTATTTCTCCCCCTTTGTCATCAATGACAAAAAAGGCTTAAATGTAGATAGATTGAGATTATCAATGTCAATCAATGGGGTGAGGATCATTTTCCCAAATTTTAGTTCAAACTAGAATACTTGCCAAAGATATTTAACTCGGTTTGATCCAAGGACAAGCTTCTTCACACCTTAAAATGAGGGTTATCTTGTACCATGTTGAGTTAAACACTTAGAGCTCATTTTCTAGATTAAACACTAGGTTTACAAGCCCATAAACATGTCATATGCTACCACTAGATTAAGTCATGCATAAAAGCAATAGTGGTACCATACAATCATCAAATTTATTTGATTTTCATGAATGAGCCTATTAAATGTGAAAGATGTCTAGATGCACTAAACATGTCCTTAGTAAGGATGTATGCCATGCCAATCAACTTTTACCTTGGATTGCTCGAATGAGAGCCATGTCATATGAGTGGGGGGTTACATCAACACATATTTGAGAAATCCAATATGTTCAACTCATTCCTTAGCTTGCAAAACCTTTTCTCATCCAATGGCTTGGTGAATATATCAGCAAGTTGATTTTTGGTGCCCACACTCTCAATGCAAATGTCCCCTTTTTGTTGGTGATCTCTTATGAAATGGTGGCGGACATCAATGTGCTTTGTTCTTGCATGTTGAACCGAATTGTTAGTCAACTTGATTGCACTCTCATTGTCACATAGCAATGGCACTTTCTTAAACTTGATTCCAAAGTCACTCAAAGTGGCCTTCATCCAAAGTATTTGTGCACAACAACTACCAGTGGATATGTATTCGGCTTCGGCGGTTGATAATACAACACTATTTTGCTTCTTTGATGACCATGAAACAAGTGATCTTTCCAACAATTGACATGTGCCCGAGGTGCTCTTCCTTTCAACCTTGCATCCCGCATAATCCGAGTTGGAGTAACCAACTAGCTCAAACTTTGCTCCTTTAGGATACCACAAACCAACATTTTGTGTATGCTTCAAGTACCTCAATATTCTCTTGGTAGCCTTCAAATGACTTTCTCTTGGTGAGGCTTAAAATCTTACACATATGCATACACTAAACATGACATCCAACCTTGATGCGGTCATATAGAGTAGGCTTCCAATCATAGACCGATATAACTTTTGATCCACCATATTGCCACTTGCATCACTATCCAAGTTGCCATTTGTTCCCATTGGTGTACTAATAGCTTTGCTATCACTCATGCCGAACTTCTTGATCATGTCCTTGATATACTTGCCTTGACTCACAAATGTACCATTCTTCAATTGCTTGATTTGAAGACCAAGGAAGTAACTCAACTCTCCAATCATGGATATCTCAAACTCATTCGTCATCATCTTTCCAAACTCATCACAAAAGTCTTGATTGGTTGAACCAAATATGATGTCATCTACATAGATTTGCAACACAAACAAGTATTTGCCAATCTTCTTGATGAAAAGAGTGGTGTCAACCTTGCCCATCATGAACCCTTTAGAGAGTAGGAAGTCCCTCAATCTCTCATACCATGCTCTAGGTGCTTGCTTCAAGCCATACAATGCCTTCTTCAACTTGTACACATGGTCGGGCTTCTTGTCATCTTCAAAACCAGGAGGTTGCTCAACATATACTTCTTCATTGATGTAACCATTGAGAAATGCACTCTTAACATCCATTTGATAGATCTTGATGTTGTGGGCACAAGCATAGGCTAGCAAAATTCTAATTGCTTCCAATCTAGCAACCGGGGCATATGTTTCTCCAAAGTCAAGACCTTTAACTTGTGTATATCCTTGTGTTACCAATCTTGCTTTGTTCCTCACTACTATCCCATCTTGATCTTGCTTGTTTCTAAAGACCCATTTGGTTCCAATCACATTGTGTCCCTTTGGTCTCTCTACCAATTCCCATACTTGATTTCTTGTGTAGTTATTCAATTCTTCATGCGTAGCATTCACCCAATCAACATCCTTCAATGCTTCATCTATCTTCTTTGGTTCAATGGATGACACAAATGAGAAATGCTCACAAAATGAAGCCAATCTTGATCTAGTTTGCACATCTCTTGAAATATCACCAATGATAGTGTTCAATGGATGATCCCTTGCAATATTTGTTGGTTGGAGGATTGGAGCTTGATTGCTTGCACTTGCTTGATCATTGGGTTGAGATGATATACTAGCCACTTGATTTTGTTCATTGTCATGAGAGCCACTTGTACTAGCCTGATTTGTATCATCTTGCACATTTGAGTTAGAGAGCACTTGCACTTGATCATCTTCATCATCATTCACTTGCTTAGGCCTCAATTCACCAACATCCATGTTCTTCATGGCATTTGAAAGTTG